TTCACTTGAAATTGATAACCCTGTCGCTCATTGAGCGTACAGACATCATTTGTGCTGTCTCCGTGTTGACTGCCCCAGGTACTTGGAGCGATGTACGCTTCGATGCATTCGCGAAAATAGTATCCTATTCAACCAATCCGAAATAATTATTCGAGTTTCGGTATTCTTGAATCACGTCTGCTTTGTAGTCTCGAGCTGGCGACACCACCCAGAACATAAATTTAGAATTGAATTTCATGATGCCACGCAGTACAGACCAAATGTCAAAGAGCATCGTCAGGGACGTCGTCCTAAGCATTAGAAACGCCGCGCCATTATGGCGTTTCTCAGGTCCTAGCTACTTCAGACTTGCTGGACATCGGGACATCATGACTTCAGCACTCAGGCCTTCTGTAATACAAGTAATTTTCAATTCTGGCTCGTATTAAAGGCAAGCAAAACATTCGCCATCCTCGTTACGGTATCATGATCCTAAATGCGAGTTAAATGAGTGAAGAGCTGTTTCGGAAGTGTCGTCTCACACAGGAAGCGCACAATCTCCACCGGAAAGGAATACTGCCAGAATTAAGAGGAACATTCTTACCGGATGCGGAAGACGTGTAACCTTCGCGGTCGCAACCGGAAGCGGCCGCGAACGATTTAGGTTTGAGGTTTAGGTCGATTGGAAATATTTCTCCCACGCGGTCATCAATAATGTCTGAAGGGTCATCAAGAAGGTCTGATGAACCACCAAGAAGGTGTGATTAACAATCAAGAATTTCTGACGGGCCACTAAGGAAGTCTGATGAACCATCAGGAATGTCTGATGGAGCACAAAGGTCTGATGCGCCATCAAGAAAATCTGACTGACCATCAAGAATGTTTGATGAGCCATCAAGAATTTCTAGTGGTATTTTCGATAGGGGTACGTGGTCTTTCGTGTCACAGATGTTTACAGCAAACTACTGCCGGTTCACACTGTGTGTACCACTGACAACAAATAGAATCGGTAGAAAATTTCGGAGCGTGTGTTGCTGAGATAGACTCAGATTAAATGCTCAAAAGGGGGATGATCATAAGAACATGATGTGCGCTTGTGAACAGTAGATGGCGGCAATGCTCACCAAGAAAAACTAAAACATTGCCATCTGTTTTCTTTTTTCATTTTTTTTAGTACGTGTGTTTGGAAAGAGGATTGGTTCCTTTAGTCTTCGAAAGCATGTCCCGAGTGGCGTGCTCTGCATTGAAGAAATATTGAAAATAGATAGCTTATGTTTCATATAAATCATCCGCAATAAATTTGACGAGGTAATCAACCTCAGGGTGAAGTGAACCGAACTATACTGCAAATATGACATCGAACTCAATTACGTTCGTCTAGTACATTGTGCCGGTGCTTAACACAAACGGATAATACAGGAACATATCTTTACCCCAAGCAAGACAATTTAATTTTGACTGCATTATTAAAGCTTGACAAATTTGGTTGCCAACTCATACGATTGTGTTAATATCAATCATCGTGAGTTTGCATAAATAGAAATGATAAAACAAAAGTATATTTTATCCAAGTGAAATGCTTCCGATACCTGACAAGCTCAAGTTCGGGAAGTTGAAGGCAGTACCACGGCCTCCATACCTGCTGGTATATGATTCATCGAAGATGATATGATTAATTATTATTATTCCCAAAAGCCTTCTAACTTTTGGCCCCGCATGGTGCTGGGCAGTGTTCACGACAGATATCAATAACTGCGCTATTCTTGAGCTTTCCTTCAATCAACCCTGTACTGGATTACATAAAGAATGGGCAGGGTCAAAAGACGGGCTCTGTTTACTTTGTCGAGAGTGCTGCTGAATATTCGGTTGTACTTGTCAGAAATATATTTTACAACCGTTCAGTTGCCTCAACCGTCCATCATTAAAAATAATCAAATACCGACTGAAGGTACTGCTCCAAAGTGCTGCGTGTCAATGCTTCGTATAAAAAAAAACCGCTCGCGATACGCTCGAGTCAGCGAGCTTGAAGCTCGTCGGTATAAAAGCATAATCAGTTCATCCACATCTCAGCTGTATTTTAGGCAAACAGGAGGTGCATTGAAACAAAGTCCTATAATAGTCCCAGAAAATCCACGTTGCGGAAACTGTGCAGGGTGTGGCTTAACTGAGGTCATGCAACACCTTATCAATTACAAAGCCGTAGTGCTGGATTCTTTACGCCACCGCCAACGCACAGATTTCACACGAGAGCCGATTGAACTGCTTGAACACGAGTCCCTCCCGTACGCTGGTGGAGCTCTCGTATCCCATATGTCCTCGCTGGCTTCTAGTAGGTGACACAGAAAATCCAGCAGTGCGGCCTCGTTATCCAGGAGGTGTTAGCCATGCCAACACAACCCAGAGTAATCAAAGCCTTTGAACAGCCTCATCTCCCTCCATGGAACGTCATCCCACTACGACGACGCCGATTCAGCAATGTGGCCAGTGTCTGAGACCGAGCTTCCTTCGACGCGTATATCAAACACTGACACAGCGGTCCTGTGCAATCTGCGTCTGCGCTCTATGTTGCTGTGGTGACGTCAATGTTCTAGTGCACGGTCTTTGATCATTCTGGGCGGTGCTGGTCCTGCCGAATTAAGAGCGGACCGGGCCACTTCAAAGTGCGAAAGACTTCTCCGCGTGGGAAGGGACGTTCCAGTCCAGGGGGAGCTGGGAGCCGGCGGAGGTCTCTCGGAGGTACCGGAGGGGAGGCTACCCCACCCAGAGTGAGAGGATACCTCGGAGTGTCATTCGAATCCAAAGCGGCGGCGGCAGAGCCGAGGCAGCAGGGGATGGTTGGCGGAAAACGAAGGCCTTACGGGAAATCGTGTCGACGCGCCGTCCGCCACGAGCCTTCGCGTCACGCGATTCGTGCGGTTTACGTGAGCGGTTATGCGTGTCTTATCGCGTTCAAGAATCACTCCAGCTTGAAATATTCTCGTATTGGTTGATGTTTATGGCGCCGTCTATCGAAAACGTTCTGATTGCCCGTGACAGCAGTCTCTCCTACGACGCCCTAGTGGTCTATCATGATTCCTACCATGCGCTTACCATTCATTCCAAGAAAGGAGCTTAAAAGAATGAGCTCAAGCGGTGAAGTCAACATTGTGTACAATCCTCCCAACCCAGAGAAATGTCCTCAAATAGGACGCCATCATAATCATGCGAATCTGGTACCCGAATGGTCATGAATGCTTCGTAAGCCTATGATACGAACTCGCCTTCTATATCAGGACACCACGCGCTCGCGTGCAATCAGCGCATCGCTTGCGTCGCAGTAATGTGACGCTTCACATTGATCGAGGCAAAGGAAGCCTGTCTTGCCCCTTGCGCACAGAGTTAAGTTCCTATTTGCATACCAAGTACATCTCATTATAGACCCCATGGTCGTTCCTAAATAAAATTTTAATGTAACCGGAGCGTGGTTAAAACCGAGGTGCTCTCGAATTGACACTCGGACTCTTGTTACCTCAGCATGCATGATGCATGTGAAGGCGCAAATCTGTCGGCACGCGAGCGTGCACTTGAACGACAAACTAGACGTGGACCCAGAGTTCCGAACTATTTAACAGCGGCAGATGATTATCATCAGATGGGGCCAGAGACGAAACTCGAAAGACTGATTGTTGACGTTTCAACTGTCCCAGACAATTCGTTTAAGGGGGCGCCTTAGACGCTTGGAGGCGATTTTATGCGAGATGTATGTTGCAATAACCGGATACTTTGTTTTCATGGGGAAGTACTCTGAAGAACTAGGAACCGGGAGGAATGTGGATACAACATGATTATCAGTACAACCAATGTGGATAGAAGTGACTGGTGCGGTATTCGATGTTGGGACTATGCCTTCTAGCTAAAAGAACATGACAGGCGGTATTGGCTGAGCATTCTAGGAGGCATGACAAACCAAAGACAAGACGCCGTCTTTGAGGACTGCACCATCGGATGCTGTGAATTAATCTTGAACAGGTAATGTCCAGAAGTGCAAAATCCCAATTTACAGGTTTCTTTTCTGTAGATTTCTTTAGCTGGAGTGATTATTTGAAGGGTATCAGCAAGAGGAAAGCGTAGCCCACTTGGGCAACAAACAGCCAACCAGAAATGAGCGCGTGTCCTTTTGACAACGCGAAGGATATTTCCATTTCAATTATTCGAAGAGGGAACGAGGAGATGGGAGAAGAAAGCTAAGGAGGCGGCTGGGTGTGACGTCACACTAACCTGATAGCGTTTCTGGTGTACATTTGGAATAAAAGAACAATAGAAAATTTGGACATCACATGCCCAGAACGAAAACGTTATGCACTCAAGTACATGCAAATTTTTGTTTGTGTTCGCACTACGACAATGCAATAGATAGATACATAGGAGCAGTTTTCTCTTAAGTACTTCCCTATGCACAAGCCAGATAAACGGGCATTGTTTCCGTGTAAATCGGGCAAATACATAAGATGGCCGTGCAATATCTCTGTGTACGGTGATAGAGTCCTAAGGATCCACTGTTCTGAAAGAAGTGCTGAAGTCCGAATATCCAGTTTTCAAGGTGTACACGGTGACATCACCCAAAAACCACCGCCTCTTTTAGCTTTCCTCGGGCTTGCTCTGCCAACAGGAGACATAGGAAGCCCAATGGTCCCAAGAGCGAAACGAAATGATGAAGTTTCTAACTTTGCGAGATGCAGATTAAGAACGGCTGACGAGCTCTGCTGGCAAAATTGACGCTGCTAAGGAACTCGTCCAATGATGCGCGTTTAGGCAGCTACCGCGTCTAGCAGTCATAGAAGCCCGTTGCTAGATAGACCACATCGGTTTGTGGAACCCAGGACTGACTTGAGGGCTCTCTGCAAACGCAGCTGCTTTCGAAGTGATGGTGCTTACATACGCACTGACTGTTTTTTTTATGTGTACCTCTTCCTACGTTTGAGAAACAAAACATAGAGAGAATGATGTCCCAATTGACGAGGTCAAGAGGCATAGTCGCGACCAACCTGGGTGATATTGCTTTAAGTCCCCCAAACCATAATATTTCCTACCCTGCTTAACCGTAATATCACGCACTTCGGGCAACGTGGAACGACGGCTTTTCCCTAGGCTACCTAGACAACGATGACCGCGTTCGCAACAAGCGTGCCGCGTCGCCATCTTGGTCTGCCCTTCCGGACGCCGCCGTCAAGCTCCAACCCGGCGCGCCATCTTGGTACACCTGCTGAAGATTTGTGGAGCGGGTTCCTCCATCTCCAAGGTGGCACGAGGAGTGCCCTAAGTGCGCCGCCATGTTGCCACCTCTCATTTGCGACACCACTCGATGCAGCTGATTGGTTGTAGAAATCCCAAGTTCTCGTACGTGCACTCTCACTCGGCGAGTTGACACAGGGAGTCCTCTTTTGGTGCTTCCTAGAGGGGGCTGCCACCGAGTTCCAGAGCGGAACGCGTCACCTTGGTACATCCGTTAGGAGGCCGATAACTTGCCACGTCACCCACCAAAACAAACACAACAATCAGCAGCGAGCCATTCTGATACACCAGCAGAGACACCCCAGATGATCTCTTGGTAGTTCCTCCAGCGTGTAGTCTTCGTTATCTCCGTGACAAGCGGCCGATTGAACCATCTTGACGAAGACCCGTTAAAGACACTGGAAACCATCGCGCGCCTTCCTGGTGCACCCCTTCCGCATGCCAACACTCCTTTGCCGGGCATCTGTACAGACCACCGCTGGATCCATGGCACGATGCTGACGAATGGCCAGTGTCGATGGAGGTACACTGGGAGCTGCACCGCGCCATGTTGGTGCACCCTCGGTGAACGACGCCACGGCCAACGTGCTCTCGAACTCTCGCTGCAGCGTTCCTCGTGGTAGGCCTTCGGGGCGGTGGGCGGGCGGCAGGCGGCGCGCGTCGGGACTGCAGCCGGACCGGCGGCGTGCTAGAAGGGCAGTCTGTTCCTGAGGCGCCATCCCTAACTGCTGCAGCAGCCGTTCGACTTCACCTGGCTCTCCTGGCGGATGTACTCTGACATGTTGAAGCGGCCGGGGCCGTGGGTGGTCCGGGACATTCGTTGCTTCAACTCCCTGCGAGACACCGAGCGGGTCCTACTTTATTCGTCCTCGTTATTACTACGTCGACAAGGGTACATAAGCCCCGACACCTGCGTCACCCGAACAAAAAAAAGGAAAAGGGGGGATAAGGCTAGGGGGCGATCGCCCCCTCTTGACATTCGGGAATGTCTTAGGCTCTGTTTCACACTAAGTTCGAGTGCAGCCGACGCTACAGTTTAATGAAGTCAGTCAAGCAGCGCCAAAAGTGCATGGTCACGGGACTCATCGTCTTTGTGCGTTTTCCGTCACCGGCTAAGGGAGATTAGCTAAACAAAATTACAGGTATAACGCGTATAGTGAACTCTTATCCTTAGTGCTGCACACTGTATTTGGCGGGGGTCTCGAAGCTCACCTTCTGACTCCGTGATTCCTGCAGAGCCACACAGTTCTGGCTGACCAGGAAGTCCGAAGAACCAAACAAACTAAAACCATTGGGACCGCCCAATCGATCGATATTGCGTCGACTACAAGATATATCCTAAAATTTGACCAGTCACTTGGACATATTGCGCTTAGTAAGCCTCTGAGTGCGGCAAAAACTTGAAATTCCCAATGGTACAAGGCGTGATTCTAGACGAAATTCGCGAGAAACACGACACTCTCAATTATTGTTTCCCAGTGCATATACCAGTAAATACCACTATGTGATGAATAATACAGTGAACGTGCATAGAAAACTAACCGCGAGGCCTTTGCGTTTCGGAGCATACATCCATCGATTAATCGAGGTTTGCAACCGATCGTATTTCTTGCGCCATTAGCCCTAGTGTGTGTGTATGTGTGAGTATGCATGTCTGTGTGTGGTGGTTGGAGGGGGCCGCATCCTGCCCGCGGTGTTAGCTAATCTTGAACAGGTGTTAGCCAATCTTGTGCATGTTACTCGAAAGAAAAGGCCGAATGGATTACACTTACAATTACTCTTCGCTTAAACGATATACTCAATCACATTACTCGATTACGTGAGTGGAAAAGTAATTGGCCGTTACCTGAAAAAGTAACAGGTACTTTTCTGATTACTTCAGACTTTGAAAAAGAGAGGCTTTCTGCCGGTTTAGAAACTGGTCTTTCGTATTTTCCATTATTGGTGTAACAGCACAAAAATTATAAGGTACCATTTTCTTAATTCACCAATTTTGGAAAACCCGTCCTCCTCTCGAAGACTTCGTTTGAGGATTTCTCGGTAGGAAACTTGTACAAACAGAGGGCTCCATTAGAAAGGCAGGGGAAAATAGTAATTGTTACAAGTAATTTTTAATACTTCCAAAAATTAATCCAATTACTCTTGTGTTGGTTCCTAATAAATGTATTAAAAATTACAAAATGATTAAAAAAATCAATTACTATAGTAATTTGATTACTTGCAATAAGAACCGTACAAGTCTGGTGTTAGCCCAACACTACCTAGACAAAGAAAATTACAGGAGGACACTGAAGAATGCCTACATGAAGGAATGCGAAAACATTCCTACACGCAGTGCATTCCTACAAGCAGCGCGCCACGTCTCGCACACGGCGCTCCGGCGGCGACATCACGCTCGCCCACTGCGCAGGCGCGGCGAACCCCGCCGACTCCACGGCTTCCGTGACGAGGCATCTGCGTTGCTGTGCTTTTCTTTGTGTTCTGTTTCTGAGACGCGTCCACTTTGACTTCGAGCGCCCCGCCGGCTTCCGTGACGAAGCATCTGCGCTGCACTGCCGTTTCGCTGCTACAGACGGTTACAGACAACGAAGGCTTCGCTCCATGGAACAGTTAATGCTTTCGCATTAAAAGCCGCAGATTTTTCTACGTCATCTACTGATGTTCAGCGCGAGTCTCAGGCTGGACAGGAGTGCTATGTCATCGTTAGGCTTGGACTTCTGTTCTTACTGATGGAGCACGAGTTCCAGCCGAGCGCTGACGTGACAATGGTGTGCCGTGGTGCCTCGTATGTGTCGCGCGCCAGCCCTCAGTTGGTGATGTGAACAATATAGTACTTCTACGGTTTTCTCTTCGGTGACGTGTGCCCCGAGACGGTGCTTCACGACGGATCGCTATCTGCTCCCGAAGTCAAATTGCCCACTGTGCCCTAAGCGATTACATCTCCACAACAGCGGGGGTTCAACTGCATTCCGAGCCAAATGCTGACGCAACACTCGTATAACTAATTTGTGCCCAGCACTGGCCTTCCTCAGTAAACTCGGAATGCGAGAATTGAGGCAAATATCACTTCTTGCGTTGCTCTCGTGTTTTGTCGGGCACGGCTCATGCATCTCCCCAGCACTTATCACACAAAAGAGATCTATTACGCATGCGCAGAACACAACACGTTGTGCAAGGATGGCGATAATAACGTTGTACAACGGGGCTGCGCTTGTGAACGAAGAAAATAAGAGGATTGCACAAAGATCAAGATGGTCGTGTGTTGTTCTCACCTGGCCACGGCCATAAAGGCAAGCTCCACGTTGGCCCCTGTCTTGGCACTGGTCTCCATGAAGGCCACGCCGTACTCCTGCGAACACCCAGACACGCGCAGGAAAAAGCACGTCGTTAGAAACAGAGCCACATCACAACTGAGAACTTGTAAAGTGTCCTTTTATCGGGCTCTGTTCCTCAGCTGCGCTGAGGGAACGCATCTACGCACTCAGTCTTGCTTATGAACTTGTCTCTTTATGGTGCCTGGAACGCATCTTCGTCTGCTGTGTTTAGAGCAACCCATGCGGAGCGCAAGATTGTCTGCTTCTTGAGAAAGGGTTGTGGTGACGTCAAGACATCGAGCTTTGATTGGCTCCGATTGGAAGGATAGTGGGTAGGCCTCAATGCTAGCTACTTTGAGGTCTACCCCCTATCCTTCCAATCGCAACCGATCAGAGCTCAGCGTCCTGACGTCACCGCAACCCTTTCTCAAGAAGCAGACAAAGTTGCTATCGGCATACCTGCTATGCGTCGAACGGGGTTCCGAAGTGGCAACAAATTAGGTCGCAGGAGACGGTGTGTCATGCTGTAGGAGGTCGCGATCCATGGCGGCTGGTCGTATAAGTACGAGTGAACGAACGTGAGTGTCGCCGTGGTCGTGGCGTCGCAACTGGTGCCTGCTGAGGCTTCCGTGGACAGCTGGAGAGCGACCCGCAGCAGAGCAGGCGACCGCCGCATTCATCTCCACTGCTGCTCCACAGTGGGGATCGCGGCAAACAAGAGCATGACACTTCTATGACTTCATCGGGTCGAAATCAATAGACCCCAAATACAAATAAAGACACGGTCAACGCACCAGTCGGACGTGCGTTTCAGGCACCATAGTTTCACTAAAATCAAGTTTAACGAGCAGTACTCCTATAGGGGTGTATACTAAAAGTGTTTAGCAACCTTTGTGAAGCTCCAGTTCAACAAAGCAGCGATAGGAAAACATGTTTGTGGATAGAGGTACTGCTGAAGAATCATTGGGTCGTTGATAAAGAGCCTTGGCTGTGTCAGCAATCAATGTTGTTTCTTTGTTGCTTTTTTTTTTCTTCTTGTCTATTCGAAATTTTTAATACTTGACAGGTCTGGGAGTTCTGCGATGTTGCCGACTGTTTCTACACCTTTTCCAAGTACGGACTTTGGGCTCCACCATCTTGCTGCCGGTGGCTGTAGAAGCAGATCGACTGGTAGACGAGCCTTGCTAAGGTTCGCCCAGAGTTGCCAAAGTGGTGCTCCAACAAAGCGTTCTCCACCCATGGTAGCTAGACATGCTTTTGGAGTGTAGCTGCTTGAAATATGCAACTCGACACGAAGGAAGGTTAGAACAGCTTGACCCTGACATTCCATTTGGCAAAGTGCCGCTCTGTTCGTGATTACTTTATTTTACTATTATTATCCGTGATTTTTGTCGTTTTAGAAACTTCCAATAGCCCTGCTCATCAATGTCTGTTTTTGAACTAACTTATTTTGTTTTGACCTCATGCCATGGCATGCACACGTCTGATCCCTAAGGCATTTCCAGAAGCGTCATGGGCTTCTTTCGCTTTACTTTTGTTACGAGCTTCCTTTTGTTGTTTCGGTATTGTATATTTCCTGCCCCACCGCCACTTTTACAGGCCAGTCTCGGAACATTTGAAGAGAAGGCAAAAAGCGGGGTATCACCAAACGATATATGATATTGTCACGAATGACAGTTAATGAAGCAACGAAAACTGAAACAAGCTAAACGTTTAATGGGGCGAACTTGTGCCCAGAACAAGAAAAAAACAGAGGATAACGCTAGAGCGTCGCGGGCGTCGATGGCGGCGTAGCAGCAGGATCGAACGCTGGGGCGAGACTGACTCGGCTTGCCAGGCGGAGCCCCTTTTGCACACGCGTGGGCTTCTGGAACATTTGGCGTAGATGGTTCGGTGCGTAGAAAATTCTAACCTCGAATTAGCAAGCAATTCTCGAATTTACCAGAACATCACAGTACAGCGTCAACAAAAATGTGTAGACTCGGCCACGAATCGAACCCTGGCCTCCTGCGTGAAAGGTAAGCGCAATAACCGTTAGGCCGCGGGCGCGTTGCCTACTTGGTCAGCTGCGCTCGCGGCAATACGAAATGAAAACAAATCTAACCTCTCAATGTGTTACTGTGATCGTTGAACCTTTGCAGTATTTACATTTTCTTGGTTTTATCTTTTTTTTATTTTTTTAGAGTTGCGCATTGTGTTCTTTTGTCGAACTTGTTGAAGAAGTGTCCAGGAGTTCCCCCGCGAGTCGCAGGTGTCACGTGAAGTTCTTTGAACATCCCTCACCCTGGCGAGCCTCTCCCCGTCCTCGTAGCGAACCTGCCTGTCCTGCTGGATGTCGGCCTTGTTGCCGATGAGCATGATGACCACGTCGTCCTGGGCGTATTCGTTGATCTCGCCCAGCCACGCCTGCACACCACAACGGGAACCGTGCATCCGCGAGACGAACAGGAGAGACATCGCGGTGTGATTGGAGGCACTAGAAAAGTACTTTAACTTTTGTCTGTCCCTCCAGTGGAGAGGAGAAACACGCTTGACTGAACACCCCCGGACAACAATTAAGACCGCAGTCCTGAGCCTTCTGCCTCACTTGCCGCTGTCTAATCTGTGTCCCGGCTCACATGTTGGATACGAGTGCTGCATCAGCGATCCGCTGGTACTCGTGCTCAATCGGTAAGGACACGAGTACAAGCCGAATGCTGACACTGCGCTCGTGACCAGTCGTGCCCTCCGTTTGGTGAGGGACAATTCAGAACTACTGGCTTATTTCGTACCAAGATACAAAAGAGAACGAGCGGCGGAATGAACAAGTGCAACAGGAAGGTTCTGACTTGAGAGTACTCTAGTCCTGAGCACGACTGATCTCGAGAGCTGTGCGACTGTATGCTTAATGGTGCGGTGATCAACTCGCCCAATTTTAGCAATACGAATCACTGACTGCACAGTTCATGGTAGTTTTTCTGCATTTTTTCACGGTTGACGCGGCACACGGCATTGCGACTTTACAGTAATAAGGTACTATATTGATCCTTCTGAAACAATCATGTGTTCTACCTTCGGGAGCTGCATTTTTAAAGTCTGCAATTGCAAAGTCCGAAACAGATTTTTTTTTTTTTTTTTGTAAGAAAGAGTAGCGATTGACGCCTTGAATGTTCTTAGGGAGAATGAGCACGTAACAATGTAATCAAGGAAGCGAGGCCAGGTTTTGAAAAATAAGTACCCGCCGCAATTTTGTGCTGGTGATATGGAGCACACACAGATTCGTCTAGGTGCTGGGCACTTCAAAGCGTTAAGCACAAAACATATCCTGGCTGCACCTTGGTGGCGCGCACCAAGAGCCGAGTTCGGTGAAACGAACATCCCACCACCTCCTCCCAAACAAAAAGACGTGTTAGCGACCTCGTTGTGCCTAATTCATACCGCTTGTTTAAAAAAGATATGTGTGTCTGCTGTCGATTGACGGCATGAATCTGAAGATATAAGTGAAATCCACTTATAAGGAAAATGAGATAACCCGAAATTTCAATCGTTATAATCGATTATCGTTGTATCTGAACTAGAAACCGAGCGTTTCCAGTCTAGAAACTCTAGAAACTGATCGTTATAAGCGGCACATTGTTATATGTGGTATCGTTATGTGGATTACACGTACAGGGTGCATTTTGAGGCTTTAGAGATTTGTCTGAAAAAAATTCGTGCAAGCCGTACTGAAGCTGTTTGTGCAGGTGAGTTATACGGTCAGGGGGCAAAACATATTGGGGGCCAAGCGTCACTATAAGTTGGCTAATTGACTAAAATATGTTAGTTAACGTTTTAATTAGTGGACTTAAACATGTGGTTACAGTTACAAACTTGCTGAGCGTAATCGAAAGCCTCAAAATTACTCAATAAAAAAAAAAAAAAAAGACTGGGTACACGTGAGAAACAAGGTAGAGCGCTGAAGTTCCTACTCGTCCAGCAAGCAGAAGGCTGCCGATGAGAAAACACGCCCGCGAGGTTTTTCTGTCTCTCATCTTTAGCATTCTCTCGCCGCCGGAGTTGCGCTCGTTACACGAGTGGTAACTTTGGCGCACTACTGCGCTTTCCACGCGCTCACAGTTTATAAAAATGGCTGATTTAGTCGTTTTAGATGACGCTCAGCAAAGTCGTAATTCAAGCCGAATATATTTTTCACCAATCAAACTGCTAATTAACGACTGTTAGTTAACTATTAGACTCATCGTCACAATTATCCTCCTATATCATGTCCCTCTAGCTGTATGACTCACCTAAAAAGACAGCATTCATGTAGTGTTCCCGGCTTTTATAAAATAAATCTGTACAGCCTAAAACAAAAACACCCTGTATTTATGTACGTGATACATTGTTGCATCATGACTCTATCGAAGGTCATACTTTTAATACCGCAAAAGTCAAAGACGAGGTTAAAAAAAAAAAGAAGAAAAAAGACAGAAACGACACACAATGAAGGTATACGCTACCAGTGTCGGCTTTACGCAATGTCGAGAGTTCACAATCAGCTCGCCTTGTTCTTTCTGTACTTTTTAGGCCGTCAACGGCAGGAAAGTGGGCCAGAAGATTACTCCGTAACCACGACGGACCTTCAGTGTCATCCTATGCTTTCCCCGTCTTGCTCTCCTCCAATCCCCAATGGGCAGGGGGCGACGTGGCCCGACTGACTGATCTGCCTCTCGGAGGTCTTCGTCTCAATCGATCAATCTCCGGCCACCCGTCCGCGGACCGCTGGACCGAGGAACATCAACTCACCCTCGTGTTGTCGAAGCTAGTCTTGTTCGAGACGTCATAGAGAAGCAGCAGAGCTGGAAATAAAAGACCCAGAACTTTATTTATATCCTGTCACGATGCTATCGTACTTTTAACCCGCGTCGCAAAAGTATGGTTTTGTGCTTTTGGTTTATTTATTTATTTTTACCTTGGATTTGGTGTTCTTCGGTATCGATCTTTTGGTGTCAGACGAAAAGCGGGGTTTCTTGGGGCTCAAGTTTAAGAAAATGGGACACGGGCACGGGATTCTCCAACGTTGAGGGAATGTGCACGTGACTCAAATGTGTGGACGATGTCCCGGTATCGACAATAGAATAAAACGATGTATGGTTCCGAAGAAAGAAGTGACCTCCCGGACAGTTGGCTCAATGTATTGACCTATCATAACTCACCGTGGGCGTCCCTGTAATAAGCGTGCGTGACGCTGCGAAACCGCTCCTGACCAGCCGTGTCCCAGATCTGAAACGAGAACGCCATAGATGCCTTTGACTCATAGGCTGATTTGACCACCGTGGTCCTATGTAAGAAGTCAGGAGGTCATATGATATAGGTGTGCAGTGGGAGCGATACTCATGTACGACATGTACATGCGAAAAAAGTAAACCTAAAAGAAATGAAGGACTCGATTTTTTTGTCGATCTATGTACTACGAGCTGAGAAATGACTGGACGGGTCGTCAACTAATTCTTGGTAGTCTCGCTTTTAGTTTATATATATATATATATATATATATATATATATATATATATATATATATATATATATATATATATATATATATATATATAATATATATATATATATATATATATATATATATATATACCATAAAACAGTTCCAAGTCAAATGACAAACGATGTTCCCGAAATTTAGCCGTGCTTTATCTAAGTGAACATCTTGGGAAGGAACAGCGACAAAACACTTGGACAAGAGTAAAGAAACACACACGACAGGCTGGCGCTGAACTAACAATTGGTTGTTTAATACACAAAAAAGAAAGGAAGTGCTCTTTCAGTGTCCACCGTCAAAAAAGTGCTTCGCTATGTGGACGATTTTTTGGTTGTGTTTGAGGACGCTGATGGGGTTGACACACAGGCTAAGCTACTTTTCCGTTTTTAAAAACTGTGGTGGGGGGCTCAGGCTTGCGTTTGAAGAGTCCAACAAAAAAGACCATTCTGGACAACAGTTCATGCCACTCAAAATCGGTAAAAAGGAGCATTGCGGTCTCTTGTCATGGGTCCGCCCTTAAAAAGTCGTGCGTCCACTTGATGAAGGCAGCTTTAACCGGCAGGTTGAAAAATTGAGGCTGTCAAGGTTTCTATTTGCCCTTTTGACTAAGGTGGCTAGCTCCCTTATGAAAAAAAGCTAAATGGAGGGGGATGATGAAAACTGAATTCGACAAAAAAGAATGGTGGTCGTGCCCTATCTTCATCGAGTATCGCATAAGCTTAAGCAACTCGGAGGTCGCTATGGTGTCCCGGTGGTGTTTTCCACTGCACAGAAAATGGGTATGATATGTGCAAATGTCGGTGCTACCGCCGAAAAGCGGTGGAAAAGGAAATGGACCAAAACGCACGTAGGACCGTTTGTGGCTTGTGTGTCGGGCGTGGTTTGAGATCCCCTTGTCGTGTGGCAATGTCTGTGTTGGACGGACGGGCCGCTGTCTAAATGACAGACTTGCAGGACATTCGTATTCACTCAGGGCCACTGTTGGGGGGTTGCTACCTTTACGCTGCGACGGCTGCAAGTGACAGCCTAATTTTATTGAAGTCACTGTTTTAGATAAGCATACAGACAGAGCGACAAAAAAAATCATCGAGGTTTTTTTTTTATGTCAGAACTTGGCGGCGGGAGATGCGTCAGCGACCGTCAGTAGCTTTACCTGAAAAAGAATTCGGGTACCTTCGATCAACTATGAAGGGCATTACGTAGCCACTAATGTGGCCATCTTGACAAACAACATGCTGCTTGGTTGGCGCGTGTGTGGTGTCTATTTTTTCTGATTAAGATGGTTGGTGTTTTCTCCCTTTCTTTTTTGAGTATTAAACAACCAGTTGTTAGTTCAGCGCCGCCCTGTCGTGTCTGTTTCTTTATCTTTGTCCAAGTGTCTTTCCCGCTATTCCTTCCCAAGATGTTCACTTCAAACCAACTAGCCCAATACGTCACATTATCGCAGTTTAACTGAGCGTCAACAAGATTAGTCAAATGCCTTACCCGGATAATATCCTGTTACTCGACCCGTCGCTGAGAATACCGCCGCGGCCCTTTCTGGCTAACCCATTTTGCATCACTATGAATATGTATATGATTAACCAACTGCAAATCATCGAGCTGCATATACCGCCAATACTGTACGTTTTCACCTCAAATGCGTACGAAAAAAAAAAATTGTCGCTGTCCTGACCGTCAGTTGAACGTCGAACCAGTGCCGAGAACATTAAATATAACGACCGATCTTTCTTAAGATCCATGTCGAAACAACAACTGGAAGCACCAGACAAACACTTCGATGTAGAAACTTTGTGATTCTGTATTTTCGTTTCATTGTTTTACCTTAAGTTAGTCCAGACGTAGCCGACGCTACAAGCTGATGGCACCGATCAGACGGCGTCAAAATCGCACCATCATGGCGTTCGTCGTCTTTCTCTATGTGTTATCATCGCTGGCTGAACCAGTCATAAACAGGAAAGGTCCAGGCGCCTCTGACGATGCTTGAGTATCGGGATACCGACTGACCGTCGAACGGTGTTCCTCAACAGAACTGAACCATAGTGATTCTTCGGCAGCTGGCTTCAGTTCACTTCGAAATTTAAAAAAAGAAGGGATGAGTCCCGGTGTAGTCCTAAATTATTAATTAGTGACGCTCTTTCGAGACCTTTGCGATGAAGCTTTTTTTTCTGCTTTCTTGCGCTCTCTTTTTGCTGTGATTTGTTCTACTGAGTTGTTTGCACATTAAAAGTAATTATGATAGAATGCTTATCTTGAGCTGCTGAAGTGTAGGAGAGCAGGGTTCTGTCGGGTATCGCGCATTTATATCTGCCCCTATTTGCGGCTTGCGCGAACTACAGGGGGCGCTCCTCTAGCTATCATCATCATCGTTTGTGACGTCACGTGCAGGACAGCCTGGGACAGACTGTGCAGATCTTAGATCCCTGGGCTCGTCAACTCGCTTCGTGGGTGGTTTGGGTAACGCGCGGCAAAGCCTGTTTCACGCGTTGTCTTTATTGGGTGAAGTGATATTTGTAGGGACATTTTACCAAAGCTTGAAACCGTGGCAGGCGTAGTCGTGCTGAAAAACACTTTTGGCGCTAAGCTGTCGAAGCGCTCGGATGGTGGTGTGCTGTCCTCTACCCCAGTACGAAAAGCTGGATTATGAAAATAGAATGTCCCGCGCTTTACCCCATCACATCTACCGGCGAATAGGGTGTATTTTTTTGTTATGATTCGGACAAAATAAATTAAAGAAAGGAATATGTCTTATCAAATTGAAAATAGGAAAGCTAAATTTGAGAACATTTCGCGTGTGTAGTAACCATGCACTTCAGTGAAGAGACTCCGTGTATCCTGTTGGTTCCAATGTGTTCTGGGAGTGGCGATCTCATATTAGTTTCAAGTTGATTCCGTTTCGAATTTTCTAAACCAGTAAACAAACATTTCCTGAAAACAGCTGGCAAAAAGAAGCGGTGGTTGGCTTCCGGAGTCGTTTCAATTAAATCCCTGCCTATTCATCCGGTTGGCGCAAAACGTGCGAGACCCCTTTGCGATTAAAGTCTTAAATCTAGTAAATCGCTGAAATTTCAGCGTCCCAAAAAATGAGGCATGCACCTGTTATGAATTGCTACCGTTCGTGTATTTAACCTTTCGGACACAAATGAGCATAGTGCGTGATGGGCTTCTCAGCGAGCGATTTTAAATTCGTAAAACATTCTTAACAAACATTGTATAGAAAAAATTAACCAATCGCCTGAATTTGCTGGGCCACGTCCGACAATTTAAGAGTTTCTGAAAATTTCTGCTTTTGTTTCGAGCAGAAGTCGCGTTTTGACAAACTTCTTTGTCACGTATTCGATGCGGCAGGCGCTGAGCGTCAGTTGCTGACGAGCATTTGCTCGTCAGCAACTGTTGAGTCACACTTGGATAGAAGCGTATAGGTATCGGCAAGGCTCAGCGTATTGTGCAGGTAATTTGCAACACAACTGCGCGTGCGCACAGCTAAGAAGACAGCACGCCATTTACTCTGGTACACGCAAAAGCTTTTTGTACAGCAACCTTCACAGATCCGAAAAGGCAAGAATCACAGAGGCTGTGAACAGACCTGACGCACACCACGCAAGCTATAATGTAAAGCTCCAGGCTTGTTTTTCAACATTCTAATGTTTTTCTTAATTTAAAATCCAACTTCGAGGCGCTGTTATTCATTAGAAAGATCACTATCATAAACGCCATACAGATTTCTTTAATAAATAAGCCGGTTCTCATCGGCATAGATGCGAACTAACATATGTATCTACTCCGTACTTTGACACGTCTGCTCACATCATACCAGCTCCGTCACAGAAGGGCGCCCGCGAGGTGGCGCCACCAAAATCTGTCCCCTACGCGATCAAATTAACTGAAAAGCGTGTTGGTAAAATTGACTGACCACAGAAAGAATAAAACAAACTCGAAACAAAAAACGACAAAGTTCTTTTTTTTTTTTTAACTACCAACGACATATATGAGTTTAAAAGCCCTCCCTGCAATTCAGGACTGTAAAAAGAAAAAAAAAAAAAGGAGAGAAAGGGATGCGGAAAGAGAGAAATTGTAAAAATAAAATTGTAAAGAAGGAAATAAGATAAAACGTGAAGTAACAGCGTAAGCAGCACAAAATTTGGATGGGGTGTGGAGCGGTTATAATCTACGCTAATTCCGGAGTCAAATATAGGTTATCTCTTCTTTGACGCGATCAACACACAATTGGCAGCTGTTACGGGGTTGAGAGATGTGCTTTTGGAGATTTCCTCAGTCATGTTCTTGACAATATATTCCTTAGGAGCTTTGATCGGGACTGGTCAGGCAAAATGGTGGACGAAAGGAGGTCGTGTTCGTCGTTCAGAACGCGGACCACCACAAATTTGTTGCACCGCAGCGTAAAATCGGTGTTACATATGACAGCAAAGCGTTCTTTCCACGGTATAGAAACCTTCTTCTGGTCAGCGCGTAGAAAGGGCACGGCGGAATCATAAAAATAATTACTGGAAACCATGTTTGTTTCTATGCTGCCTACGAGAACCAAGCAGCGATAGCAGACGACAGGGTCGAAACGACCTCCTCTCCTGAACTTCTCGGCGTTGCCGCTACGCGGCGTCGGTTTCGGTTGAGCCGCCAATGGGAGCAGGGGGTTCTTCAGCCACAGCCTTCGGGAGTATTGTGTGCTTTTGCGGGATGCTTTTACAGGCGCGCTTCTTAATCGCAAACATTCCTTTGATGCCTCTGGCGTTTATGCGCTGCCTCTTAGGGTCCTCGGGCCATGTCAGGGAAGGAAAACTGAGCAAGCGCTTCCCGGGCCGCGTGTTTTCGTAGACGCGCCGGAGAACCTTCCAGAACTCCAAAGCGGCGGCGGTTTCGGAACTGCTGCTGTGTGGGCGGCGGAAAGGGGGTGGATGGGAGGGGGGAAGGGGGAGAGAAAGAAAGGGAGTGATAGGGCGTCTTGCCATAGGTTACTTGGTTGTGCGAGGACTATAGGGTATGGTCAGCAGTGATGCGATTGCTGTGACACTTGCTCCCACAATGCGCCAAAGTGCCAACAGACTGCTACTTTTTGCTACATTTGACCAAGATAGGAAGAATTTGAGCCAACATTGAGCCCAAAGCTCGTTTCGTTTCACCAATACAGAAACGGAGGGTTCAGGCGTCGCTACACTGCCGTACTGTTATGGTAAGATTGCGAAACATTTTCAAAACTTCAGGGTTTCGCTTTAAATAAAGTGTAATTTGATATGATCTTTGTACCAAACATGACTCGGTGCTCGGAAGTTTGGGAACGCTTCCTATTTTTTATTGGGGTCTGTTCGGGTGGTTTCATTAGCTCCGTTTGAGAGCGCTTATATGCTGAATCACAACAGATGAGTGGCAGTTAAATAAATATGATGGTCTGCGCCATTTTGAGAGGGTGCGTGCATTCGCGGTCGTTCTTTTTTTTTTTTTAAGTTTTAAGGGTGGTTATTTGGGTACCGGTAAAGGGTTGATGATTTACGTTGATTACATGTAGCTGGTTTGAGTCTCTAGGTTTAATTTTTATCCATTTACTACCTTTAAATAGGCCTCTTAACTCTTCGTGGATGCAGTCAACAATGTTTAAATTAAATCGAGCTTAACTTTAGCGGTGGAATAAAAGTACGGGAATAAAGTTAATAAGTTCAGCTGAACTTTTTAACACACATGTGCTTTCCACACGTTGACTTTGTACCATCATAAATTTCTACGTGTAAGATGTCATGGACGGGCAGCTTTGCGGTTTAGTTATTCTTTGCAATTGATGCTAAGAGGTGGTTATGCCGGCCTGGGAAGGCAAAGATGCGCTGTACTTTATTATTTGGACAGGCCAACACAAGGGTCCTAACACAGTTTTCGCAGTAGAAAGAAAACGAATAAAGAATATGTTTGTGCTCGAAAAGTATTTTTCCCTGCTCCAAAATAACTCGAACCAATCCCATCACTGGCTCAGGAACGACGGAGAAGACAGAGCACGGCGGCGATGGGGCGGCGCACGCCCAGCGATCACGTGGGTTTTTGCGTACGGACGCCGCCCGATTTTGCTGGAAAGGGGCACTAACCGCCGCCACTGTAAAATAAAGACCCGCTTCTGCTTTTTGGGTAGGATCGATTTGATAGTATTTCTTTGTAACGAAAACGTTAATTTCAGATTGTCATACACGGCTAAAGTCTGGTTTGAGTTTGACTATGACCGACTGCGCCACGACTGGTTTTTAACTCTCTCCAGTCGTAAGCAGTCGCAAGTGTGAGATAGAACCAGCCCGAAGTGTCGCTCAGAGAAACAGGAAATCAAATGTACATCGAAAATACTCTATCGTGAAGACTCACCTGAAGCTTGACCTTGCACTCATCTACGCTGACCACTTTGTTCTGCAACGAGAAGAGGAGAAAAGAACGCGATCAATTATTATCATTGTTCTCACAGAATATGTTTGAACAAAGCCTCCTGTATACTGACAAAGCCTGGCAGATCGCCACGAGAAGCGGTCGCCGATATGGAAAAGGCGGAGCGGCAGACAAGGGATGAGAGGAGAGCCACGTGACTGGCGCCCCGCTGCGGCGAGATGCCGAAACACACTTCTGCCGAGCGAACAAGTGGTTTTCGGTTCCTCGCCGCTGCAAAAGCTGTGCGCTGTCGTCCAGATTCACCGAGAAATGGCTCTTTGATGCTCTGTGCTGCCAGATCGACGCGCTCCAAATCTACGACCGGGCACTCTATGGCTCCGTCGTCGAATTGCCAGGCTTTGTGAGTACATATGGGAGGCTATGGTTTGAACAGTAAGTACTGGAGTTATCGAGCACAATGATATCAAAATGTTTTTTTTAGAAGTTAGCTAATTTACACTACCCACTAGATTTCTCCGGCAAATTGATGGTGGAACTAAATAAACATTTCCACACGAAAATGATTTAAAGAACACAAACAAATATTCCGAGCAAATTATAAATGCAGCATAGGTCTCTTTGAACCCTTATCACTGAATCGGTTGCGTCGATGTGACATGCTTCGATTCTGTTTTCTTAATTATTATGCCCGATTAAATATTGTGCTTGCATGCAGTATCTCTAATTACCGTTGTTAATGCCATGCTGTAGAAATTACCGGCCATTAGCATTTTCATAACCGAAAAAGAGCTTTACTGTTGAACAACAAATACAGGTACCAAATTGAAATTAAAATAATTGATATGAATTGTCATGTGATATCACTTATAATGCGAAACAAAATGTGCAATGTGTCAGCAGTTAGCGTTCATGAAAGTAGATGTTTTTGTAGACGTTAGAATCTTTGTTGAGTCGAAGAAGTTACTGGATGAACTCAAAATATAGTTGGAGTGCTCCAAATTTTAGAAGTAAGTAAGAAAACAAAACTCCTTATAATTTCTAGTGTTCTACCCGGTTCAATCTGTCATTTTTACTCGGACAGACGTCGTTCCTTGGCCTTAAAATGCAGCAAAAGCAATTTCCTCTCACGCCGCCTCAATTAAATCATATCGAGAGTGTTTACGAACGTTTTACGGTAACGACTTAAACTTGCGCAATATGAACCGCTTTAAAAAAAACTAAATTAAAGATACAAAAACATTTGATGATATTCATCTTGTCAACATACCGATGCATTTTGTGAATATATTGCAAAAGAAAGCATGTTTGCTTCTGTCTCGCGTCATTCTCGAGATATGGCCGAAATCGTAACCCCCAGCGAAACCGAAACTAATTGGGTTTCACGCACAGCGAGGCATTTAATGCATATTACATCATTAGTAATGTTTCACCGATATTTTGTTTAGTCGATAATATGCATAAATATTTATGAACATTTCCAGTCTCTCTATTTTCATTCACTGGTCGGGAACGCAAAAAAGAAATTGACTGATGTGCTCGTTGCACTCCTTCAAAACTTCCATTGCATTACTATCGGAGCGAACATGGGATACCTTTAAGGATGTAGCAGGCCACACTAGCTAGCTACGTTCCACTGCAGTTGCACAAACAACCATCGAAGGCTCGGGCTGTGCCCTGCTCGGCTGGATAGTCAATGCGGTTTCAACCAAGCTCAAGGCACTGGTAAGATTAGACTTATTTTGTATACGTAACGAGTTATAAGTAACTGATTACTTGTAACCAATTACATCTTATTGCAACTTTTTAACGCTTCACTGTCTGCCCGCGGGTCATCGTCTATGTTGCATCAACGTTGGACACTTTTTTTTTTTACCTCTAAACCTAAAGATACCAAAATACCAGAATGCCAACGCGCTCAGCGACGTTTTGATTCTCGAGTTGTCGAGAGTCCCTCCTTTCCTGCGTACAAGTTGTGACAATTCGAATGTGTCGCGGCATAAATGTTTTATTTCGTAATAAAAAGCAAAAAAAAAAAAAAGTAACGTGAAAAGTAATAAATTTTTCCCGGTAATTTTTCAACTACTTTTGTGACGCAGTAATTGATTACTGTAATCAGTTAAATTTTTCAATAAAGTAATTGTAATTGTAATCGGTTATTTTTTGCACTAACGAGTACAAGACTGGGTTAGACGTACAAGCTTAAGGAAGGACTTCCTAATTATGTTCTCAATAAGGTGATGGCATGTGTACAGTGACCTGTGCTCAGACGAGCTCCTGAAAAAAAAAAATATCGCATAGAAAAGCTCAGAATTATAGTGTTTTAAATACCCTACAAACCAAAAAAAAATTTTTTTTTTTACTGCAAAATTAAGCTGCGCTTTGCCGGAAGCTCGGCCTCCGCCTAATTGTGGCACTAGAGCTCCGAACCACATGCCAATGTTCCAAAACTACCCGTCATCTTATTCAAAGGGTGATAAGTGATTTCACTGAAGTTTTCAATGAAAAAATGGCGGCCGATGGAGCTCTCGATCACATAAAGCTGATAAAAAACGTCAAAAATAAGCCCCATATTTCCCATTGAAGTTCTGAGAAAATCACTTATAACTTTTGAAACGAGATGACGGTTAGTCCTAAACTTTAGCGTCTGGTCCAAACCGCTAGCGCTACATTTTCGGTGGAGAAGGAGCCTTGGGCGATGCGTAGATTATTTGTGCAGTGAAAAAAAAAAATCTTTTCTGGGGGAGACTTTGTAAGGTATAGTATGGCGGAGGGTTTTTACATATGTTTACGCGATCCTACCAAGACCCAAGTCGGGTCTGTATGATGCCGTCTGTCATTTCAACGATGGCAACGGAGGCACGCTTCACGTTCTGAAGCACATTGGAGTCGAACCTGGTCTGTACACAGTGAAAGCGGCTTGCCCAACTGGCGATCAACACCATGTTCTAAAATCCTCCCATCAGTCTACTAATGCCGCTAAACACACATCAAAAAGCGAACTGCCGCACGAACAAAAGCAGAGAAAAGCAAGACTAGAGAGGAGGCGAGCTACAAATCAGTGAATTTTAAGCACTCTTGAATATTCCTTTATCTCAGTTAAAGTTACTTCCAATATTTTTTTTCTTGAGAACCCACTTTTCCCCATTTTTTTTCCTTACGCAAACATGCCTAGACTTTTTTTTTCTAAATTTGTTTTAATGAAATTTTACAGACTTAATTTTATATAGCTAGGCGTACAATGAACCAGAATAAATAAAATCACGTGAAAATTATTGATATTCCTGCCTTTTATCGCAAAACATAATCTGAAAAGCACTCTTTGTTACTTGAACATTACACACTGATAATTAATTCTATCATATTACGTCTGATTCATTACACGATTCAAGGGTTTACCCGTGTGACTGCCGAAGCAATTTTCCTTCTGATGAATTAAACTACGGTTATAATCAAATATGCATATTTAGAACATTTCTTTGAAATAAAAGTACTCAAACATTTGTTTCATACGTTTTAACACTGTAAGGTTAAAACAATTTAGTTTTTAAGATGGGCTACTAATATGCCGTTTGTATCCTCTGCTAAAAATGTTTTGCCGGAATGTGGCATCATACTTTGAAGGGGCACTCCGCTGTTCCTTTCACTGTGTATGATTTGTTTCGAAATTGGCTAACAGAGCAATAGATCTGGCTCAACTAGTAATTAAAATATTACGTTAAAATAGTTTTATTTCCTGAATTATTGAATTTTAAACCATGGCCCCCAAAGAAATTGAAAACCTCTACTGGCAACACTGCAAAGCGTGACGTCAGCCGCAGGCGCAGGCTCATTGATTGTTTGGGCAGTAGAGCAATTGCTCCCAAGGGATTACAATACGCATGGTTACGTGAAATGAATACTGTGAAAGATTACTTCAGTACACGCTCAGCAGTAGGAACATAATGCGCGAGATGCTTCGTTTTTTAGACTGCTTGCTCATGCCCGCCAGTGGTGTCAGGCCATTTGGAAGCGCTGGAAATTGTGAATGTTTGTTTCGGGCTTGATTTTATTTTGCGTTTTATCAATAGCTATCTTCAATTCCGAGACACTAAATAGCATGCCGGGAAGAGTAAAGGCCGGGTGTTAAAAAAAGAAAAAAGAAGTTCGTTGGGGTAGTTAAAAAAATTGACAAATGTATTGCTAACATGTTTAAACATGTTAGCAATACAACAAAAACAGTTTATGGCATCAAAATAGAATGTATTTAATGAGGTGGAAGACGCCTTTCATCCTATCGCAACTTAATAGTGTGAAATTTCCTGCACCATTTTTGTTTTTCATACGTTGGTTTCAACTGGGGGGCGATGTCTCAAGATGAGTTGAACGATATGCGGTGATGTGGGTGTTTTAATTTCAATGAAGGAATAAGAGCGAAAAAAAAAAAGTACAGGAAAATAAAGAAAAAGGTAAGTGATTAGAGCGAAAGGTTGGTTTGGGTGTTGAGGTGGAGCGTGCAGGAAGCAGCATCGCCGCCGGTCAGGCACCCGGAAGCTTGAGATTTTACCGAAAGAGGAAAAAATTATATTTGGGATATTTATAATTCTCTAATGGGCTACCTCATTATCGTGTTGCTAGCAAGCGTGCCTTAAATGTTTGAATTTAGGGCGTGTGTATGTTTCACTTTTCCACCGTGTGCCGCAGTTCTATTTGTGCATCCGTCTACGAAGTTTCGGAAATCTCGTTGTCTTTCGTTTGTATATACACAGCCTTAATCCGATACCGAATAGAGCTCGCTTCACTAGTTTACAACTGGTAACGCGAACTCTAGTACGAGTGAAATTATGGAGTATTGGGAACAGTGGTTAGCATAAATGTTAGTAAAATATAGGTTGATCACAATGCTAGAAGTGTTGTCGACTGTCGCAGGAGGTGATCTTAAGGACACAGTCGCTGAGAAAGACTTCGTGATATCACGTTTCTGCGAAGAATTATCCAAGCTCTCATTGATTGTTCATCACGTTTAAGCTCAGAACATTTTAGTGATC